ATATTTATATTATATAATATTAATTAATCCTTTGTCTATATTCAAACCCTGTATTAATTTAGTATGTGTTTTTTTCAAGTTCAACCATAGGAATCATTAGAATCTTGACTACTTTCCGTAGCAAAATCCATGGAGTTGAATTCGGAAACGGGAACAGGTAACTTCGGAAGATCAGTCATAGTGCCCAGTGTTCAAGAGCTGGCCAAGCATCCCATCCTTAAGATCCCACTCCGCTACCAACGTACGGATCGGGACCCGCTGATCGTACCAGTACCGGACGGAGAATCTGAACCATCGGTTCCGGTCGTTGATATTCACCGATTGGTGCTCGGAGATTCTGCTTCTGCTGCTGCGGAATTGCAGAAGTTGCATTCTGCATGCTCAGAATGGGGATTCTTCCAGGTATGTAAACGCTCCGCCAATCGTGCCCTAATTTGCAATTATGTTCTTTTCTTTGGTAACTATGAATGAATCGTGAAGAAAGCTTTCTGACCTTGAACTGGGCTTCCCCTGTTTCTTGGAGAAGTTCATAGTATAGCTCAGGTGGGTTTATTAAAAGGGCAGCAACGCAAGAAACTCAACCCTTTAGAATGAAATAACTAAAAACTTTTGTATAAATAATGCGTATTGCAGAATTGTTAATCTCATTTTGAATCACTTCATTGATAATTGACTCAAACAACCCAGATAAATCCAATCCAAATCTTTTGTGATCATCATTATTTGAGTTAGAGAAATTTACAGCCCAACACTCTGTCTAAAACATATAGTCCAACCTAAATGTACCATTTATACTGGAAATCTTGAATGTGGGACTTGGAAAGAAGATGAAGCATGGGAATATCATTAATGTGATCACAAGTGGCAATCCAATTGGCAAAGACCTGGGGACTCTTGATCATATTCATTTAGAGGTTTCAATTTTGAACTTTCTGGTTAACTTAATACCAAAAATCTTTGATGTTTCTCGAATCGGAGCCTTGGGGCGGGCACGGGTACCTTAGGTATAGGGCTGCAAAGGTCCGACTCCCTGTAAAAAATGAAAATGAAAATGAAAAAAAATCTTTGTAGCCTAGGAGTTACCTAGACAGTTTCCTTCCTCTTGTTTTGGTGAAAGGAAGAAGCTTTCATTTATTTTTTCTGGCAGGTTGTAAACCATGGAGTTCCCACTTCATTGCTGGAGGAATTCAGAATAGAAGTAGAAAGTTTCTTTAATCTTCCCTATCATGAAAAGAAGCTGCTTTGGCAAAACCCAGAGAATCAAGAAGGATTTGGGCAGCTCTTCGTGGTATCAGAGGAGCAGAAGCTTGATTGGTCAGACATGTTCTTCATGACCACTCTCCCTCTTAATCTGAGGAATCCTCATATATTTCAAAAGCTTCCACCAAAACTCAGGTTCTTGGCCAATTCTTGTGGCTCCATTTGAATACTATGATCTTGGTTTCTGATTGACATTGCCTGTTGCAGAGAGACACTGGAAGCTTATTCAACCGAAGTTAAGAAGTTAGCAATGCTTATCTTGGGCCGTTTGGCTGTAGCTTTGAAGATGGATGGTGAAGAAATGAGAGAGCTATTTAGGGATGGACATCAGACAATGAGGATGAACTACTATCCTCCATGCCCCCAGCCCGATAAAGCCATCGGATTCTCGCCTCATTCCGACGCTGATGCTTTGACAATTCTATATCAACTCAATGAAACCAAAGGATTACAAGTTCGAAACAATGGGAGATGGATCGCTGTTAAACCTCTTCCAAATGCATTTGTAGTCAACATTGGAGATATCATGGAGGTGCTTCATTGAACTTTATCCATTGCGCTTCTTCCTTCTAGCTCTTGTTGCTATACATTTGTTGCCAATTTGCTGCTCTTGCCTCTGCTGCAGATTGTAAGCAATGGTGTATACAAGAGCATTGAGCATAGAGTTTCATCGAATTGTTCCAAGGAAAGGCTTTCAGTTGCAACATTCTATAGTTCGAACCTAGACTCGGAGTTGGGTCCAGCAAACAGCCTCATCGGACCGAATAACCGAGCAATTTTCCGAAGAGTCCCGTTGGAGAAGTACTTGAAAGAGTTCTTTGCTCGAAAACTAGAAGGAAAATCATACCTCGAGTATATGAGAATGAAGAATGTGGGCGACCAAGACCATGTATGTTAAATATTATCTATCGAAAGGAAATGAAAGGAAAATCAAGCGTTTCCTCCTACAGGTACAAGTGTGAGAAATCATATAATATCCATCTCAGGAAGTTAGAAACAGTGAAATGAGGAAGCAAATGCTGCAGCTTGATCTTAACCATTAATTTTCTGATCCCTACAATGGTAGCAGAATCGTACAATAAGAAGGAATTTCCCATCTTAATTCTGTATTTTCCTATTATATGGTCTGAATGTTGGAGTAAAGTTTTTTTTTTCTTTTTTTTTTTTTAAATGGATATGTGTATTAAAATTAGGCCTCGTGGGAAACAATCGAAGGGAAATCTCTGTTATCCAAAAGAGCCACGTTGGGAAAGAAGAAAACCAAGCATTCGTGGCCAAAGAAGAAACCCCCCATTTTACAAGCGAGGTACATGGTTGAAGCTTGAATTGAAAGAGATGGAGTTGAAAGTTAGGGCAGGACTCCTCACTTCCATCAATCAATTTAACTCATCTCCGAGAGCAACGATTTCGCCTCACCTCTGATCAGCTGGATTTTTTGAAGGGAGTCAGATTCAACCTGTAAATGGGAACAATTCAATGAACAGGCAAATTTCAAACCTTTCAAAATTCCTCTGATTTCAGCTATGAGAGGGGATAAAGGTTGAGGAATAAACACCAATTTTGTCGCTGTCGAACACTTGGATGAACCACAAAGAAGGAAACCCAGCCCGGTCGAAGTTTATCAGCATGCAACATCAACATTTAGCTTAACGTTATTTCCCGATGGAGGCATCCAAATCTGATAGTTCTTATTGGAACGGGTTGCTGGAGTGGCCCGAGAGGAGCAAACGACTTGAGCAAGCAAATAATTACAGGCATAAGAACTTGTCCAATCACATTTCCTTTCAATATTAGAAATTGGGTTCCCTGAGTTACATTGTTTCTATCATTCTATATCGTCGCACAGATGATTGTCGTCGAATCCCTTTTTTCTACTTTTATTTTAAAGTTTTAAAGACTATTAATGCTTAGGCCTGTTTTCATAATGATATCCATTTCCCATTTTCTATTTTAAAAAGTTTTGCTTGTTTTTTCTAACAATTTTGAGGGTACAATTTTCACTTAATTGAAAACATATTTGAATTTTGAACTAAATGTTAAAAACAAAAGCTACTTTTTTTTAATCTAGATTTTGAAAATATTTTTAAAAACTGTATAACACGTCATAAGGTAATTATCAAATGAGATTTAGTAGTTACTTTTTTATTTTCTATTTTAAAAAAGTTGATAGCAAAATAAAGATAAATTTTACTCCATAACTGTAACATGATTTAAAAAATGTCACAACTTTCCTTTAAAAATATATATATAGCATAAATTTGACTTTTTTTTACGTGTTTTACTTTACAATTGAGTTTGATTTTAATTTGGATGATGCTATTTTTGTAAAATTTTAAAGTATCTATTCTATTATATTTAAAAATATATATTTATCTTAGGCTTTCTTTCTTAAATAAATAAAAATAAAAAATAAAAAAAACATGTCTTATTCTTGGGTTAGCTTATGATTTAGATCTTTATTCCTAATGATTATATGATTAAATATTTTGTTGGGTAAAATATCAAGGTTTTTTGTTTATTGAAAATTTGAACGGATCTGGCTACCATGTTTATTAAAAATTATCAGAATGGACTTTATTATCATAAATTCTGTTTGTAAATATTTTAAATTTAATTGTCAAAAAAAATTTTAATTTAACATCAATCCATCGCAAAAGTAGGTATTTAAAAAAAAAACCATTAAAATATTGGAGGGAGGTGACAATAACACAAAAGCTGAGTAAAATATTTTCGATATTTGGAAATATTAAATTAATTTTTTAGAAAGTTGCGATGAAGATTCTAAGTAGTTGTGATGCAACACATTCTTCAATATTTGGAGATATTAAATTAATTTTTTTTAGAAAGTTACTATGGAGATCCCAAGTACGTACTTGTGATGCAACACACATTCTTCAAAGGCTAAAAATATTAAATTCATAAAATAAAATATATTGAAATTTAACAATTAAATGAATTCATAAAAACCCCTTTAATTATAAATTAATAATAAAATTTTAAAAGTTCTTGAATTTTAATAGTTTTACAACTTTACTAACTCCTGCAATTAATTATATAAACAACCCTCTATTATACTTTTATCCACAAATATATATATATTTTTTTTCTTTTTAATTTTTGTGTCTTCTCTCTTCTTAGTAATTTTTCTCTCCCTCAATTTCATTTTCCTAAAATTTATGGATTTAAGGCAGAGCATAATAACTTCATACACTAATGTATTTGTATGAATTGCAAAATAGGGTTTTTAACAAATATAGCATTGTATTAAAATAGAAGACGTTGATGCTTCAAATAAATATTTTTTTTAGTACAACTCTTCAAGTAAATATTTCGGACTTATTTTGTACTTGAAAAATATATATTTTATAATTAATTTTTTTATTATTTTTATTCTAAAAGTTTGTTAGGATTATTGAGTTTAAATTCTCACAAAATATTTTATTATTCTATTTAAATTTGTAAATTTATTATTAATTTTAATATGTGATCAAATAAATTTGAAGTATCATATGCCGAATAAAAGAACAAGACATCTTTATCACTGAACTATACTCATGTTAGCATATAAAACACGTGTTTAAGACTAGGACGAGTAGAATTAAAATGGTACAAACCATATTCTGTAGATTGGGAAAAAAAAGTGAGAAAGAATCTGATCCATTTATTTGTTGTCCAAATCAATTAATTAGTTGGGTATGTGTCCATTTGAGAATCGATCACACAAACGTTTGGAGATTTTATTGATGGGTGAGAATATAGATAGGCAAGCAAAACCCATTGTTTAATTTGGTATATAATTTCTGTTGGAGAAATACGTATAGAAAACTTAAGAAAATACAAAATTAAAAATCCGAACCCAACGTAGCGTTGTTTCCTTAAGATAATTTTGTTCCTTTTACGATGCTCAAGGTTTCATGAACAATTGTTTCTTAAGATAGGACGGATATACCAACCTATGAATGCAGCACTTCACACAGGTCTTAACGAACTCACAGTATTTAAGTATTCGTACAAAGGAAATGAGAGAATTTTGAGGGATTAGTATAAAGTTACGTCTTTTGATAAAAAAGACATAACCTTTACAAAAGACGCACCAGTTCATGAAAAGTTGTGATTCTTCATTTTTAACAAAAATAATTTTATTCAAAAATTCCAACAATCCCCACATGAATAAAATTTATTTTTAAAAACGTGTACGATTACTCATGAAGAATAAAATTTATTGTTTTCCCTTTTGAACCTAGATCTTGGAATCTCCAGTCAGGTAGGTTGGGTTACTCATGCCACATGACAAATCAATGAATGCATTTCAGAGCATAAGTATAAAATTGCAAAATATCACCAAAATGTGATTAACAAAATTGAGATCACAACCTTTAATAACCAGAGAACAAAATTGTGACAACTTAAATAAAAAATGCATCTGTTTCAAACCACAAAAAACAATAATGCATAACCGTATCCAAGATTGGAAACAAAATAAAATATAAAACCAAAATTGTCTTAAGATTGTTGGAGAAATATTCATAGAAAACTTAAGGAAACACAAAATTAAAAATCCGAATCCAACGTAGCGTTGTTTCCTTAAGACAATTTTGTTTCCTCTATGGTGCTTAAGGTTTCATAAACAATTGTCTCCCAAGATAGAACGGATATACTAACCTGCGAATACAGCACTTCACACACAGACCTCAATGAACTCAGACTATTTAAGTATTCGTAGAGAGAAAATGAGAGAATTTTGAGTGATTAGTTTTATAGACTATTTGTGGTCATTCAAATAGTCATATCTTTTCATAATAAAAGGATGTAACTTTTACAAAAGACGCACCAGTTCATGAAAAATTATGATTCTTCATTTTTAACAAAAATAATTTTATTCAAAATTTCCAAAAATTCCCACATGAATAAATTTTATTTTTAAAAACGTGTACGATTACTTGCAACAAAACTAATGATAACGGAAAAATCCATGCTAATCAACCGTAGTCGTCTGCCAAACTAATGTAATACTTGCAACCATTAGTAGATTGGATTGGAGCTAGACTCCTTCGGTTATTATACGAATGAGTTCAAACGGTTTCGCGTGGCTATGTCAACGCTCTGATACCCCAAGTTGTAAACTGAAGTGTTCCTTTATTTAGGAAACGAGTAAAGGATTGAAGTTTCTTTCTTATACATTTCCAACCCATTGGACCCTTTATAAAATCTAAAAGATTTAGACTAAGTACATCAATAATTAATAAGATGAAACTTACAAGTTAAAGGGTTTAGATAATATAAGATATACAAGATCCATCATTAAAGTAATAAGGTCAACGAATAAAATAAACATATTGAAATTGTAGTTAGGTGTGACAAATCTTCTTAGGCATTTAGCRAGAGCRTTCATTCACATTTTGGTCTTAACAACGTTAGTATAGTTTAACAGTTAAGACATCTTACTTATTTTCTTGGAAGTTTAAATTTTCAAAAGGCAATTACATAATATACATAATTAATAAAAATATCCATTTTAATTTATATTTTAAGAGTAAATAATGACAGACTCGTTAAACTAAATAAAGGTTAGAGTTTGAAGATATTTTATTYCGTCTCACTAATAAATATTAATATTGACAAATCCCATTTATGTAAAGATTATATATAATAGTGGGTAATCCAACCATTTAAAGCAAAAAAGTAAATACCTTACTCTTCATTCTTCTTTTCTTTTTCCCCTTTTTCCTTTTTGGTAAAAAACTATCGACGGACAGCATCAGATCTTCAAAGTTCAATATTAGCTTTTTACATTCGCTTGCACTTATTCACGCTTAAATAGTAAATTCTTTCAAAATTGTCAAAACTTCAATTCATGACTTTATTTTCATTCCTAAAGAAAATTGGTATCTTTCATAGAATACAAAAGACTTACTTCAATTCGAGTGAAATGTTGTTAATAAAATTGAAAGGGTAAAAATTAAACTTTTTTTTTTTAAATTATTTATTGGAAAAAAGAAACTGTTTCCTAATTAGTTGCATGGYATGAGAATTCGGCCAACCCGGCGCGTACTACGCGTGTCGCGAATGCCTCGCCAAACCGAGGGAGAAAAAAACTGACGATCCATATTTGTTTGTTTCGAAATTAATTTATTCATTAAAAGAAAATAATAATGAACTGATAAAGGGTATTTCTAGAAGAATGATTGTTTGAATTGGAAATTGTATTTTTATATGGGAATAAAAAAGTTTCTAGAAGGAGGCGTGAGGCCAGCGTGGAACTATAAATAAGATCACGAACATTAAGCTTTAATTGGTTCCAAAAAAGCCCCATTTTTTCGGTCACATTATTCTCTCTCTCTCTCGTTTTCTCCGATCCTAAACAAACTCTCCCATTCTTTTAATTTAATTAAACTTAACGCTCTTCCAATTCCCACTTCCCTTTTTCTGTAACCCGAACAACTTTTAGTTTCAGTTTTACCATATTTGTGGCGCTCCACTGATACTGTTACTGTTACTTACTCTCGGGACCACCCGTACACCACCGCCATGGACGGCGGAGACGCGGCCGCACCGGCGACCCCTCCCGATGATCAGACTCAAAAAGTCTCCTTCTTCAAGCTCTTCACATTCGCGGATAGCCTCGACGTCACGCTGATGACCGTCGGCACCGTTTGCGCCGTCGCCAACGGCCTCTCGCAGCCGATCATGACGCTCATTTTCGGCAAGATGATCAATTCCTTCGGCTCCTCCGATCAGTCTAATGTCGTCCACCAAGTCTCCCAGGTTCCTCCACTCTCTTTAATCTTTAGTTAAATMTTTCTGTTTATTTCTTTCACGATTCGATCGGTCGCTCTTGGTTTACAAAACCTAATTTAGATTACGCAAAGTTCATAACCATTCGGTTTGGTTTCCTTGCGATCTCGTTTTTTCACTTTTTCATAAATGGAACTATTAGCCAAATTTAAAAGATAATAGAAAATTTCGATTTCTTTTTTTACGTGAAGATTTTGTTAAATCATTGATTAACCCAAAAGGTTTAAATTGGTAGGTTAGGTATATTATTTAATGTTTAATCGATGGATTGATCCTACTCTCAATTCAAATACATAATTTTCTATTTTGATATCATGTTAAATCATCTATCAATCTAAAAGTTTAATAGAAATTAACAGATTTCAAGCTGTTTTCAAATTAAGGAACATATCTTTGTTGGTAAATTGGTCAAATAATTAACTTTAATGACAATGTTATYAACAGAAAAAAGATAAATAAATAACTTTAATGATGACAAACCCTTGTCTCTCGTGGTCTCTTTTTCTTTAGGTTAAAAAGTAACTGCTTTTGCTTTAAGCACAATGGATCTCATACGCTTACGCATCCCATACTCTTTTTTTCTTTTCTTTTAAATTTCGTTTGATGTCTACAGTTTATTCCTTTTTGTACACAATAAATTAATTTAACTAATTAATTAATTAAATTTTTGTTTTTATTTTCTTTAATTTTTCAGACTTCCATATACTTCGTGTACCTGGGCATTGCAACTGGAATTGCTTCATTTCTACGTAAGTTCAAACAAATTCTTCCTCGATGATATTTCATTATTAGAATATCTTTTTTATTTTAATAAAAAATATACCAGTCAAAATGAACATAACTCAGACATATTGTATTCAAATATATATATATATATATATATATATAATTGGATTTTTCTTTTCTTTTTTGTTCGCGTTCTTGAAACCTTTTTTTTAAACAAACTTGTACGATGACATAAATTAAACCTTAAATTCACCTTTTTCTAAGTTGTAATATACAAACTTTTAGCTAAAATCCATTATGTAACCTAAGTTTTTGCAGTGCAGCTTTAATTGAATACATGAGTTTTAATATATATTACCCAATTGGTTGGCAGAGGTTGCAAGTTGGATGGTAACAGGAGAAAGACAAGCAGCACGTATACGAGCATTGTATTTGAAAACAATACTGAGACAAGACATTACATTCTTTGACACTGAAACCACAACTGGAGAAGTTGTTGGTCGAATGTCTGGAGACACCATTCTTATACAAGACGCCATGGGAGAAAAGGTATGTTTAATGTTTAATGTTTCATTTTTCTAATTGTCTCTTTTAATTATTAATCAAGAAATTGTTGAGCTAATAAGGAAATAATAACCGTGCTACTCCAATATCAAAAAGAAAAAGGAGAAGTAATGATGTGATGTCTATTTTAAACTTGTGATTTCTATGTCTTTGCATCATTACATCTTTTTTCTTTTGGTTATTTTACTGGTTTATCTGGTTTCGGATTACATTTTATAACTGTTTTAGAGAATTTTTTACTGAAATTTAAATTTTTTAAATTAAATATTCAAAATGTTGATGTTATATATATGATATTATGTTTTTGAAAAATAAAAAATGATAAAATAATGTTTATATCTATGTTTTGGAAAAACTGGAAATAGGAAAAAAAACAAGAAATTTAATGTCGTTGTTTCCAACCTTTATACACAATTTTATAAATATTTCTTAAAAATGAGAAACAAGAAATATGAATAGTTACCAAATATTTATATTTTTTAGAATCAGAAACAAGAAAGRGTAAACATGAACCTACCAAAGCCTTTAATTTCCATTTTTTGTCACGTCTCTTTCCTTTGATGACTATTTTACTTTTGATTTTCTGTTTTTAAAAATGCAAACCACTCCTTCCATTTATGTAATCCTTTATATTATTTTGGTATCAACTTTTTGAAAATACTTTCGAGGAGTTTTTAAAAATTTTGTTTTTGTTTTTAAAATTTGACTAAAAATTCAAATGTTGTYATGGAGAAAGTTGAAACAAGCCTATGTAACTTTTARAAATCGAAAAATAAAAACAAAATCATTAATTTTCTCGCCGCAAACTTAGTAGAATTTCATAAACTCTTTGTTTAATGGGGGATATTAATTACATCTCAAATTTGGATTGTGTGTTGTTGAATATAGGTTGGAAAGTTCATACAGTTAATGTCAACATTCTTCGGTGGCTTTGTGGTTGCCTTTGCGAGGGGACCGCTTCTTGCTGTGGTTTTGCTCTCTTGCATTCCTGCAATTGTTATTGCTGGTGGCACCACCTCCTTGATCATGTCTAAAATGTCAAGCCGCGGACAAAAAGCTTATGCAGAAGCAGGCAATGTAGTAGAACAAACTGTTGGAGCCATTCGAACGGTAACATTTCCGTTCGCACGAATCTTTTTGAATGAAACCAAAAAAGCAAACTAGCAATATCATAGCATTGAAATTGATCACTTGTTATCTTTTTCTTTTTCCAAAGGTTGCATCCTTCACTGGGGAGAAACAAGCTATTGAGAAATACAATGACAAGCTGAAAATAGCCTACAAGTCTGCAGTTCAGCAAGGACTCGCCTCAGGTTTAGGACTTGGCCTAATATTACTGATTGTCTTCTGCACTTATGGGCTTGCTGTGTGGTATGGATCCAAGCTCATCATTCAGAAGGGGTACAATGGTGGACAAGTCATCAATGTTATATTTGCCATCATGACCGGTGGGATGTAAGTTAATCGAAGATTTCACTTAAATTAGGCCACGAAAAGTTGAGGTGGCGGAATCTGGAACGATGAGATAATTAACATGAAAACTTGTCTGATTAAGTTTGAAATGAGACGAAATATGGAAGAAGCTATCAAACTCTCCTTTCACAATGGTGGAAGAAGATTTTAATGACATAATTAATACGTTAATTGTCACGTCGTTTCAKATTCTACTACGTCAACTTTTCATTCGAATGGTATTTTTGAATGACAAGTTTACAAGCATTTTTTATGGTGATCAGGTCACTGGGCCAGACATCACCTGTGGTGAATGCATTTGCTTTAGGACGAGCTGCAGCCTACAAAATGTTCGAGACAATCAAACGAAAACCACAAATTGATTCCTACGACACCAGTGGTCTACAGTTAGAAGACATACAAGGCAACATTGAACTTAAAGATGTCTACTTTAGATATCCTGCACGACCAGATGTGCAAATTTTTTCAGGATTCTCCTTGTCTGTTCCCAGTGGAACAACTGCTGCCCTTGTTGGACACAGTGGAAGTGGAAAGTCAACAGTTATTAGTTTGCTAGAGAGATTCTATGATCCTGATTCTGGTGAAGTGTTCATAGATGGAGTGAATTTGAAGAAGTTTAATCTTAGATGGCTGAGAGAAAAAATTGGTCTCGTTAGCCAAGAACCTATTCTCTTTGCAACTTCTATAAGGGAGAATATACTGTATGGGAAAGAAAATGCAACAGAACAAGAGATCAGAGCTGCAACTGAACTTGCTAATGCTGCAAAGTTCATTGACAAGCTTCCTAAGGTAAACTTAATCTCTGTCAATGGCTAATTGAGTAATTTCCTCCCCTGTCTTAAATTTGAAAGCTAATTTGTTCCTGAAGTTTGAAGTCTTCATTGTCTTCTACAGGGGCTTGACACAATGGTGGGCGAGCATGGGACTCAGTTATCAGGTGGGCAAAAGCAAAGAATTGCCATTTCAAGGGCTATTCTGAAAAATCCCAGGATTCTACTCCTTGATGAAGCAACAAGTGCCTTAGATACTGAGTCCGAGCGGATCGTTCAAGAAGCACTCGAAAGGGTGATGACAAACAGAACAACCGTCGTCGTCGCGCATCGCTTGACAACCATAAGGAATGCCGACCTCATAGCAGTCGTGCATCAAGGGAAACTCTTAGAGAAAGGTTTGAGACGAAAAAATAATACTTACCTCTCGACCGATCAATAGAAATCTCTCTTGTTGAGCGGTCAGGAAGTAAATATTATTCTTTGAGAATTTTTTCGAAGTTGTTCGATCTGGTTATCTAAACAAAACTCAAAATTTAGGAACGCACGACGAGCTAATAAAAAACTCCGAGGGAGCGTATTCCCAGCTAATCCGTCTTCAAGAAGGAAGAGCTACAAGACCAGAAACTAAACCAGTGGACGAAGCAGCAGACAAAGCAATGACAAGATCCAGTAGTAGGAGAGTATCATTGATGAGATCCATAAGTAAAGGTTCATCAAGTACTCGACGTTCATTCACAATCAACTTTGGCATTCCAGGTTCAGTTCATATCCATGACACAGAAGTTGATGAGGACCGAGAAGAAATAAGAGAAATTGACATGAAAAAGACTAAAAAAGTTTCAGTGAGACGGCTGGCAGCCTTGAATAGGCCTGAGCTTCCAATCTTGATGCTTGGATCCATTGCAGCAGTCATGAGTGGCATTGTTTTTCCTGTGTTTGGGCTATTGCTCTCAAGTGCCATTGGAATGTTCTACAAACCTGCAGCACAGCTGGAGAAAGAATCCAAGTATTGGGCATCTGTGTATCTTGGCCTAGGATGTCTCACACTCTTCGCTTCACCTATGCAGAATTACCTCTTTGGAATTGCAGGAGGAAAGTTGATCGAACGAATTCGGTCTCTGTGCTTCGAAAAGATCGTCCACCAGCAGATTTGCTATTTTGATGATCCTGCAAACACAAGGTTGGTTTATTTAAAGATTTTGTTTAAGAATTTTGTCTATGTACTATATCTAACTTTCCCATTTCCAGTGGCGCAATTGGAGCAAGGTTGTCCTCTGATGCTGCCACTGTTAGAGGGCTTGTTGGGGATGCTTTGGCCTTAGTAGTGCAGAATTTATCAACCATCACAGCTGGGCTGATCATAGCTTTCACAGCTAACTGGATATTGGCTTTTGTGGTTCTAGCTGTGTCGCCATTGCTGCTTATTCAAGGTTACCTCCAGACCAAGTTCATGAAAGGGTTCAGTGCAGACGCCAAGGTTCTTCCTCTGTTCTCTATCAATTTCTTCTCCTTTTGTTCTTTAAGGTTGAGTACATAAACACTACTTTCACCGGGGTGTCTGTTTTGTTCTTTACTTTTCAAAAAATGTTTTCAAGTCAAGTTTTTGAAAATTACTTGATCTTTTAGGCATCTTTTGATAATTATTTCGTTACTATTTCGACTTCTGCCTATCTATTCCTTTGTTTTGTTATCATAAAAGAGAGCTAGTTATGAAAGGAGATTTTGATGTGCAACACAGGTGATGTACGAAGAAGCAAGCCAGGTAGCCAACGATGCGGTGGGCAGCATCAGAACAGTTGCATCATTTTGCTCAGAGAAGAAGGTGATGGATTTGTACGAGAAGAAATGCGAGGCCCCTGTCAAAAATGGAGTTCGCCTCGGCCTCGTCAGTGGCGGTGGCTTCGGCTTTTCTTTCCTTGCCCTCTTCTGCACAAACGCCTTCTGCTTCTACATCGGATCCATCCTCGTTAAACATGGCAAGGCCACATTCCCCGAAGTCTTCAAGGTAATCAAAACATTAAAAACCACAACAATCCTCAATGCTCTGTTTTGCTCTGTTCTTCATGTTGTTCCTCTTTGTTTCTGCGGCGGCAGGTGTTTTTTGCTCTTACAATTTCTGCGATGGGTGTTTCCCAAACCAGCGCGTTGGCTCCAGATAGCGCTAAGGCCAAGGATTCTGCAGCCTCCATATACGAAATTCTCGATAGCAAGCCTGAGATCGATTCAAGCAGTAGCCAAGGAGTGACACTCAGCACCGTAACTGGCACAATTGAGTTCGATCATGTCAGCTTCAAGTACCCAACAAGACCAGACATTCAAATCTTTCGAGATCTCTGCTTGACCATCCCTTCCGGAAAGGTAAACCCAACAAATTTCAACTCCAAACACAACACACAATTTGATTCAATTTAAGTAAAAAGAAGCATTATCATCCCTTCTGCAGACCGTTGCATTGGTTGGAGAAAGTGGGAGCGGAAAATCAACAGTAATCGGTCTGATAGAGAGATTCTATGACCCTGATTCTGGGCGAGCAGTTCTCGACGGAGTAGAAATTTACAAATTCAAACTCAATTGGCTGAGGCAGCAGATGGGATTGGTGAGCCAGGAGCCAATTTTGTTCAACGAAACAATCCGCTCCAACATTGCTTATGGAAAACCAGGAAACGCAAGCGAGGAAGAGATAATAGAGGCAGCAAAAGCCGCAAATGCCCACAACTTCATCTCCTCCTTGCCCGGCGGCTACGACACCTCTGTAGGAGAAAGAGGAGTTCAGTTGTCCGGAGGCCAAAAACAGAGGATTGCCATTGCCAGAGCCATTCTGAAGAACCCCAAGATTCTTTTGCTCGACGAAGCGACAAGCGCGCTCGACGCCGAGTCGGAGCGCGTCGTGCAAGATGCATTGGACAGAGTCATGGTTGATCGAACAACCGTCGTCGTCGCCCATCGCCTCACCACCATTAGAGGGGCTCACATTATCGCTGTCGTTAAAAACGGCGTCGTTGCGGAGAAGGGTACTCATGAGGACCTCATCAAGATCAACAATGGAGCTTATGCTTCTTTGGTCGCGCTCCATGCAGCTCCTTAACTTTTATCATTGCAGGGTAGAAATCGAACATCGAGTTTACGAATGATAATAGATGCCTTATTCGCTTAGGTCCGAATTGGCACACAAGTTCTTGAGTTCAAAGGGGAAGTAGAAACTTAACCAATAATTACTACTTCCACTGCAGGCTAAGGACTATGGGAAACCATTTTTTGACCAATTATTTTGTTTATGCACTTTTCACAGTTCTAAATCTGTCACTTTTAGTCTTTTTCTAAATAAAACATTTTTGTAAGGTTTATTTTATAAATATTTATTCATGTTTTGTTTGTTTAATTAGGTAAACTTTTATTAGAGGCTCCTACTTGTTTTTCTTTTTTTTAATTTTTCTTCCTCAACAGACTTTAGGAGGACTTCTCCTTAACATTGATTTGTTGATTTATTAAAAATAAATGTTTGTCCATGTGCTCACTTTCAAAATATGGCAAAAAATTAAAAAAAAAAAATCTTTTTCCATAAAAATTGAATAATTTTCTTTTAAAAAGTAATCAAAATACTACTCAAAATTTGGTAGGGGAATAATGTGTATTTTATTCATATTAGCAATATCAAAAGAATTTGAATTTTATTAATATTCTCCTCTGGGAGACCACTTCACATCAAACTAGCTAGCTGTATCTTGTTTGTAATTTAATTGTTTTCTAACTTATTTAGGTCACTAGCATTTAGCCGTTATTTGAATAATGCATGACACTGACAGGTGTCGGTAAAGTTTCATTTCTTATCACCAATAAACCATTTAAAATTAAATTAAATTTTAAAAATGGTCTCTCCTAAAATTCAAACTCTGGGTTGGACTTGTGTACTTTTTTTTTTCTTCTTTTTCTTTTGAAAATGGACTTGTCATAATTAGAACACTCAAAAAGTTCATATTTGAAGCATTATAATGAATTTTCAAAATTGCTAGATTATTTCATTGATGTTGTATTATTGTATATAACAAGAAGTAAGGGACTGTTTGTTTGGGTGTTTTTTCTTTCTTAATTATTTTATTTTATCTCCTGTTAATTTAAAAGAAAAGCATTTGAATCAAGTTATACTAAAAAAAATTAATTGTTACATATTTATAAATAATGAAATTAACAAACATTATCATGGAGTTTTGTGATCTAATCTACGTGTTTGGTTTTGAAAATTATTTTATTGTTTTTAAACATGACGTCACGTCAAAGAGATGTCATATAAAGGAACAATAATAATTGAAAACATTTTTTTTCCTAAAAGTACTCGAATATTTTTTTTAATAATTGAAAATATTTTATTTCGAACATGGCAAATTCCCCACCACTCAAATCCGTCCCCAAGGAAAAATAAAATGGGGACCAAATTTTCATTAAATTTTCCACCTTTCTTAAATGTCTCACACATATTCTTCCAACTCCCCCACATCCACATTCTTCTTAATGTTACTAAAGCTACTTAACTATAATTTTCAGCATATATTTTATGGTATCAAAGTCGTAGGTTCGGATCTATCCATCTCTTACTATTACCATACACTGTACTATAAAAATATATATATATATAAAAAAGTTATCGTGTCATATACTGTTATTTTCATAATATATTAATTTGAGAAAAATCTTGATCTTTAAATACGACAACGTTAATCCATTTTTACCATAAACAAAAATTGAATCTTAAATTTAGACCAACGTTGCAATTCTTTTACTTATCCGTTTCGGCTAAGTTCACCCATTAATTCTAGTGAGAAAAATAATTCATTAATTTCAACAAAAATCAAGTTTTGTGGAGAATTAAACTCATAAAAATGTACAAGATTGATTATCAAATAAATTTCCTATAAAACAAAAATTTCAGCAAAAGTCTAGCTATAGTATATCTTTCTTAGAAGTATCATCAATTTCATTTTATATGTATATATATACTTTGTATAAAAATAATTTATTTTTTCGCATTATGTCATGCTTCTAAATTTATATCAACAATTCAAGTATAATTCAAATTATTATTATTATATTTATTATTATTTTTTTGTTGAAGATACGTGTCAATTACCATTGAGCAAAGCATAATTCAAATTATTAGACATCTATATATTTTTTAGTTCATGAATTTGATTTTTCGTCCCTAATAAAAATTAAAAATTAAGAAAATTCTTTTATTTTAAAAATATTTTTATTTTATGAACCTGAACGATTTAAATTCCAAATATTTTTGTTTCAGAGTTCTAGGTAAAAAAAAAAAAAAGGTTGAACCGAATCACCAATCAGATGGGTGAAGAAAAGGAATCTCTTTTCCATTTTTTTTTCTCTTCTTGAGAAAACTTTTGGGGCAATTGGGAAATGAAAACGGCAGAGGATTGGGAATCTGAATTGGCGCTTGCCCTTCAGCAAATTTAGGGAGAGGGAGCCTACAGATCGTCATCCCCCACCTGTCCTTTCCTCTGCCATATCCTATTTTTATAACCCACCCACGATTTCTACACACACACATAAGAGAAACAAAAAGGAGAAAAAAAAGGAGAATTTCGAATTCTGAGGCAGCGGAGAAACTCCCATTGTTTTGTTCTCCAGCCCCCATCATGCCTTCAGGTGCTAAGAAGAGAAAAGCTGCCAAGAAAAAGAAGGAATTGGGAGCTCACATCAACCCCTCCTCCAACACTTCTCAAGGTTACACCACTTCACTTCCCCCCTTTTGTCGATTTAATTCAATTTCGTACCCTCCGATTCAATTCTCGTTCAGTCGCTGTAGTGTAAAGTGGGTTTTGCCCACCGATGCTTTTGGGATCTGATTGGATTTACTTTTGATTTTCAACCCTTGTTGTTAGAATTTCCCCACCAATCTGTTTTATTATTGTTTTCAACCGAAGTAGCTTTGTTGGTAGATTCAAATGTCAGCTTTGTTATTTTCCCCTGTTTTTTAATTTTAATTTTTCCCCTTGGGATTCATCATTTCAAAGTAAAGAGTCATTTTTAATTGTTATATTGAATTCATCGCTATCTTTGGCTTGCTTGGCTTCTGGTTGAAATTATTTGGTCCAGTCGCCCTCCTCACCCACTTTCATCGGTTTTCTTTTACTGTTGGGTTTAATTTTCTGTTACTGATTTGTTTAGCTAGTTGACTTTTGGGGTATTTTGGACTTCAGTTCGCTGATTGTTTTGGAGAGAGTGGTTTGACTTGAATTGGATTACAGGGCGTTGTTTCATTACCTCATATATATGGAGCCTGCTCTCTGAAATAACTCTACCATTTTTTCCATCTGGCGATTAGCAGAACTCTGTGTTGATTTGTTCTGACTAAAATTCTCCATGTCAGGAAATGATGATGTTAAGAGCCAAGATGATAAGGGAAGTGACAGTGGTGAGCTCGATTCCCCAGCTTCTCAGAATCACCCAAGCCACAGCAATCCATTTGGTGAGGGGAATAAGGAAATACAAGAGAGCAGCTCATCTAGTTCTAGGGTTCTGAGCAATATAGAGACTAATCAAAAAGTAGGACTTGCTTCTGAGAGCAAAAATGGTACTGTTCAGAATGAGTCTGTTGAAGGATCATGTGCTAATGATCGTAGTAGTAGTAGCAGTTCAGACGATGAATCTGTAGATACAACAAAGAATTCTGAGGTATGTAGTCTGGTGTCTAAAGCTGAATCTGAAACATACTGTTATAGACATTATAAGTTTCCACCTCTAAAAACTTACAAGGTGGATGAATAGGTACTGGATGGGAAGACCAATGATTTGGTTGTACCAACTGCTGCCTCTATTGTGTACTCGGTTACACCAGAGGTCTCGGCATCTGAGGAAACTATCAGCATTGTTGAAAGTGCATCTGTTGAAAATACTGCCATACCTGATATAATTGCTTCAGAAAAGTTGGGGACGCGCTTGCCTGAAGTTACAAATGTGCCAGTATCAGCTCCAACGGATCTATCATTAAAACAAGATGAAGATAGAGATTTACACTTATCAGGTGAATCTGTTAGTTAATAAGGGCTCTTCTTCTGATGCCTTTAAATCTGCATCTGAAAGACTTAGACTGAAAATATCACTGCCATTCTTAGTTGGTATGACTGAAACTAGTAATTTTGCAGTACATATCGAAGTTTCTGAATGTCCAGAAAATTTCAAACCCGAATCTGAAGATCAGGTTTTTTCTTTTTTTTTTTTTCAATTTATTGTTATTGCTTACATAGCAGCACGTCTTATTTTAATTCTTCGTTGAGAAATGAAGCTTTTTTGTGCAGCCATTTATTGGGTCGAGACCAGCGGTGCCACAAAGGACCTCATGGTGGAGTTGCTGTGGTTTATGTGATGTATTTACAGGCTCCAACCGATAACTTTGCATACAGTTTCTATATATAGGGTTAGATTGGAAACTAACCTTTTTGTTTAACAATGATTACCTTGTTCAATATCAAGTTTTGCTCATATGAGGAAGTTGTTTATGGTTGAGAATGTAATCGCTAATCTGTGTGTAATGGTGGTGTGAGCTCGAACATTATAAACCTGAATAAAAAAACTTGGGACTTACAATTACTCATTTTTTGTGATATGGTCCACGTTTTTATTAGAAATAGTCTTGTGTCAAACACAACTATTTCAAAACTTCACCCATCCTGAGTTTCTGATCCTATTCAGTAAAAATAAAAATAAAAAATTTTTAAAAGTCTGATGATATAGCTCTGCATTCTAAGGTCTTTTATTTACTCTGTTGGACTGTGATGATTGGTTTCTTTATGATCTGTGCTCACCACCACAAGGGCTGGTTGTTATAATTGCGAGCTCCAATTATTTCAAACTTGTTTGTTGATATTGAATTCACTTAATTCATGCCTACTGATCTCAAATTTTCAGATTAACTTATGCACTTCAATAATGGTTTCCTTTTTAGAACAATATAATCTGAAATTTGGTTGGCACTCAGATTAATTTATATCATGTTCTGGCAGGGATGCAAAAGTCTTCAGAGGACGGGTGAAGGTTTAAACAGCCAGGGTGTTTACAGGAGCACGATAGGATAGATGTCGAACTTGATGAGCCCAGCCTAAGGTAGATGATATTCTTGGATGTAGAAGCTAGCAACATGAAGACATTCCCGTACTACATGTCTTTTGTCTTACAGTGAGTTCTCTTTTCTTGGAGCGTAATGTTCTCGATTTTGCGTTAGTAAGATGCTGCGCAATTAAACTATCATAAATGTTTCAATTATGTTGATAAATTAGTTATCACCTTATTTTCATCATTATATGACATCTGCTATATTGCCTTAGCTGAATGAACTCTCTCTCGACGTATGCATTGCGTTTCTATCATTCATACATGGTTTAGTCTTTTGTGGAAAGCTCGGCCACAACAACTTTGTTTTCAATTGATATCGACATATTTTTCTCTTTTTTCGCTCTTTTCTGTTAGTTTTTGTGGTACTTTTACTGGAAAAACTTATGCATACTGCCGAAACTGTTACAGAGCAAATGAAGTCATCATCAAAGTTATTGAAATTTTATTCTTCTTGTTTCGCACACCAATTGTCATATTATTGTCTATACATCTTCATCTGCCAGCACATTGCAAGTTTCCCCTGTACATGATCGGGACGAAGAACTGAATCGAGAAAAATAAAGAATGAACAGAAAATCGAAGACAAACCCACGAACAGAGTGTTCGTTGAACACTATTTCTAGAATCTGCTAGTTGGTTGAGCTCCACAGGATGATTGCAGTATAAATTAACTGCGTCACTGAAAGGATGATCACGAAAGCCTCCAATGCCATCTGCACAAAAAGCCAAATGAACTCAACCTGGGCCTTTCCTAACACTCTGTGAAGCTCCTTTTGAGAACTGAAACAAAGTCTGCTAAAAGGGAAAAGAAAAATAGCGAGAAAAACAATATGAGCTTTTAGGTTTCTCACCAATTGCCCACTCATGACTGTTATTGAAACCTCTTTCCAAGCAAACCTGCATCAGTGGCATTCATTCTAGTTAATCTATTTCATAAAGATTCAAACTTTTTTATAGGTCTCAACCTCTTAGATGTTTGGACTACGTTTCCTTTGACACAACTATACGTCGTAATGAGGAGATTTTAAAATTTTGAAGCTATATGTTGTAAGCGAGGTGCTGTATTTTGAAATGGGTTTAGTGATTATAATGCGAAGTTTATGAACTAGAACACAGCATTTGATCAAAATAGGATTTAAACTTGCATACCCCATGGCGAGAATAGTTAGAAAGCAGGCGATGAGAGCTAGCGAAGCAGCAGGGGGTAGGTTGCTGGAATCAGATAAACGAAAATAGAAGTGTCCGGAGAGGACAGATGCAACAACAGCAACAGCAGCAATAAAAGAAAAAACAACAAAGAACCCAGTGGCAGAATTTCCAATCTTAAAGAAAATTGGAGAAAAATGCGCAGGAACTTCAAGGTCTTGACCTGAAAATGAAAAACTTGCACAACATCACCACTCAAGAAAAACAAACATCAACATCAAAGTTGAAAGAAGAGCAGCAGAAAGATGAGGAATCAGAAGTTTAGTGTCAAACCAATAACAAATCCATTATCAATTGCATCATTCATCACCCAGCCACCGATCCCGAAAATGACGATGCATAAGCAGAAATTGAAGAACAAAATCGACACTGTAATGGGTTTCAGCTTTCCGGGTTGCATATTTGGAAGAAAGAAAGTTTTGGGGATGAGGATGAGTTCTGTTCAGGTTCTAGAGTTGAATGTTGTAAAGCATTTTAATGGAGGATGGTAAGTTCTTTGCTTGCCAAAAGGAGTCAGAATTGGTTGTAAAGGGCAAATGAATCATTCTTGCTTGGCTCATCCTTGAGAGGAAATTTTATGCATTTTTCTCTCTTTCTTTTTTTGCTTTTCAATGGAGGGACTTATATTCTTGGCCGAATCCATAGATGCCAATATATCTAAAAGTTACCATCAATTTCCTATAATTTTTGATAATTATTAATGAGTCATAAAAATTTAAGGTATCTTTTCCTTTTTCATTTTTTAATGTCAGATATTTTACAGAGAGATGGAGAAAAAATCTCTAAGTTATCGATATATTTTACGTCATTAATGTGTATTTTTCTTATTAGTGACCAAGTTAGTTTCAATTTTTAATTCGTATCATTTTTAAAACCAAACGAGCCAAATAAATTTGCTCTCAAACTAAAGTGCGAAAGTAAAATTTGTCTTGTTTTAAATATTTAAACTTTTAGCCATAGCTTCCACTTGAAGTACACTTCTTATTTTTGTATTTAAAAAATAAAATAAAAAGTGTATGACCTAACTTGTAATACTCAAAGCTGTATTTAACATATAATTTAATAAATTGTCAAATTATAAATTTGGTCGGTTTGAATTTGATGTGTATGATTTAGTTAAATTTCACAAATCGTCTATATCTTTATTTACCTGACATACTTTTTATTTATGTTGTAATGAGCATACATTTTTATTATATTTCGTTGATTATATTAGGAATTAAACTAAGTAAGAAATAGATGGAAAAAATAAGGGCATATTTTGAGAGTAAAAAACAAATTTAAGAACTATTTGTGAAGTTTCGTTGAATCATCTAAATAAAATTGAAATTTTTAAAATTATAAATACCAACTCGAAAATAAACTCAAAGTCGCGAAGACAAAATTGAAAATTTTAAAATTATATAAAACTGAATTTGTATTTTAACGTTAAAATAAAAAAGAAAAGAAAGACGAGAACGGTGCGTTTAGAGCTCGCTTCGTCGTCCTCGGAAGCAGAACAAGGGATTGTAATTCTGGGCGACCGTTGACCAACGGCTATGCGAATCGTTCGCGCCAATTTACGAACTTCCAAAATTTTGCCACTGTCATTCGAATTCTCGCTCTCTGTTCTACGCACTAGCAGTTCTTTGATTTCCTCGAATTTGTATGTTTGTTTGTCTAAAAATTTCTCTGTGTTGACCACTCCCTCTTACAATTCTTTGCTTTCTCTCCATCTAAGAAACGGAAGAATCGATGAAGCCCGATCGTTATTCAATAAGATATCGTCGCCCGGTGTTAGCCTATACACAATGATGATTGCGGGTTATGCCGAAAAGGGTAGGCTTGACGACGCCCTGATACTGTTCGATGAAATGCCTGTAAAGGATCTGATTTCTTGGAATTCTATGCTCAAAGGGTGTCTCAACTGCGGGGACTTGAGTATGGCCTGGAACATGTTCGACAAAATGCCTGAAAGGAACGTTGTGTCTTGGACGACTATTATCGATGGGCTGCTGGAGTTTGGGAGAGTTGAGATTGCTGAGCGTTTGTTCTGGGAGATGCCCACAAGGGACGTAGCTGCTTGGAATTCTATGATTCATGGATATTTTAGTAATGGTAGAGTTGAAGATGCGTTTGAGTTGTTTGAGAAAATGCCTTTGCGGAATGTGATTTCATGGACTTCAATGATTGGTGGGCTTGGCCAGAATGGAAAGAGTTTTGAAGCTCTACTTATTTTCCAGAAAATGTTGACTTCCTTTGTCAAACCCACTCCAAGCACATTGGCCTGTGTATTGACAGTTTGTGCAAATATGTGTGCTTTGTTCTTGGGTGTTCAGATTCATGGTCTAATTGTTAAGACTGGTTATTGCTTTGATGAATATATATCTGCTTCCCTTATAACATTTTATGCCAACTGCAAGCTAATAGAGAATGCTTCTGACATTTTCAATGATAATTTACGCAGAAATGTCGTGGTTTGGACGGCTCTTTTGACGGGATATGGATTAAACTGTAAGCACGAAAATGCGTTGCAGGTTTTCAAGGGCATGATGAGAATATGTGTAATTCCTAATCAGTCTTCTCTTACTAGTGCACTCAACTCATGTTGTGGATTAGAGGCTGTTGATAGAGGCAGGGAAGTTCATACTGTGGCCCACAAGCTAGGCTTGGAAAATGATATCTTTGTCAGTAATTCTCTTGTTGTCATGTATACTAAATGTGGATACATTTATGATGGGGTTGCTGTTTTCACAAGAATGTCTATAAAGAATGTTGTGTCCTGGAATTCTATTATTGTTGGATGTGCACAACATGGTTTTGGGATGTGGGCTTTGACTCTCTTCGCTCAAATGATTCGTGCAAGGGTCGATGCAGATGAAATTACACTCGTGGGACTACTTTCTGCTTGCAGCCATTCTGGGATGCTAACAAAAGGTAGGTGCTTTTTCAAGCATTTTGGTGAAAATTTATGTATTGAGATGACAGATGAGCACTATGCTTCTATGGTCGATCTCTTAGGCCGATGTGGCCGATTGGAAGAAGCAGAAGCATTGATTCTTAACATGCCTATTAAAGCAAACTACATGGTGTGGCTTGCATTGCTTAGCAGTTCCACCAAGCATTATAATGTGGATGTAGCTGAAAGGGCAGCAAAATGTCTGTTGGATCAACAACCGAACTGTAGTGCTGCTTATATATTACTCTCAAATTTATATGCTTCTACAGGCAAATGGAATGAAGTTTCCAGAGTAAGGAAAAAGATGAAAGATGATGGAATTTTAAAACAACCTGGAAGTAGCTGGATTACAATTAAGGGAGTCAGGCACGATTTCCTTTCAGGGGATCGGTCGCATCCATTAAGCAGAAAGATATACCAAAAACTGGAATGGCTAGGTGGGAAGTTGAAGGAACTGGGTTATGTGCCTGATCCTAAATTCTCCCTACACGATGTTGAGACAGAACAAAAGGAAGAGATGTTGTCTTATCATAGTGAGAGGCTCGCTATTGGGTTTGGATTAATCAGTACAGTTGAGGGTAGCACAATAACAGTTATGAAAAACCTCCGTGTCTGCGGCGATTGCCATAATGCCATCAAGCTTATAGCAAAAGTTGTTGGCCGTGAAATCGTTGTAAGAGACTCTAGCCGCTTTCATCACTTTCATAGCGGAACTTGTTCTTGTGGAGACTACTGGTAGAAGTATGGTGGTTCGAACTTTATTTTGATAATGAATTCCATAATGAAAAAACATCATGCTTACATGAAAGGGGAAGAAACAACATTATCAACTATAAACCACTTTGAGAGTCCATCTGTATGAAGCAGAAGTGCAGAACAGAAAACCGAAATACAAATATTAAGTACCTTCTAGCACTTTAGCCTAGAGTTTGAAAGATGGACATAAAGGAAGAACACCAAGAGCACATCTGGGCTGTTGTTCTTAATAAGGGAAAGCTTCTAATTGAGACTGTCTCAAAGAGTAAAGAGAGTGGGTCGTGAAATGAAACGCATGAAGAACAACGAGAATTAGAAGGAGTATTCCCTCAGAAAAACCCAAATTCCTCAAATATTCTCTCAGACTGCTACATTCACTTTTTGGATAGCCCTCTTGATATTGGCATTGCTTCTGAGTTCTGACAAAAACTCGCAGTCCAAGGAAGAAGTAGGTGGAATGATATTGGGAATCAGAGAACTGAAAATCAAGAAAAGGTATACTTTTTTCCCGGGGAAGTGAAATGACCGCAATGCAGAAGGGAGTTGAGGGATTGGAAATGGAAGATAGGGATGAAACAGAGGGATCTGAGAAATGGAAGCAGAGATGTATTTCTAATGACTTTGGCTGCTGCGTTGTGCCTCAGCTTCCAGATGGCTACGAAAGATAGAAGAAACTAAGTGCCGACTGCTTTTGTGTGCAATTTGGTCTTCTTCAAGGCTCGTTTCAGCTTTTTGACGAGTGAAAGTGCATATATAATCGCAGTTCTTCTCACAGAGATCACAATTGACGATTCTACTTTCCATCTGTAACAAACAATGAATTAGAAATGGTTTGGAATTGATTCTCTCCCAATATTGGTTATGCTTTTAGGGGTGGAAAAAACCTTTTCACTCAAATCTCGACTGGCAAATGCATTATTTGTATGTGTTTGAGAAAATGGTCCCCAACTCACTGTAGTAATCTTGATGTAGTGGAGACTGCAACAATATAAGTCATACCAAAGATGTTGAAATGTTGTGCTTATAAGTTTCAAGAAGGTTTAAATTTTTATATCGTCATACTTGCATCATGTTATTTTTAATTCTGACTTAAATTTTAGTAGTAACTATGATTTAGAATTTATTAAAATTGAAGATAGAATTTAAAAATCGAAACTAGTTTCTTAAAGCAAATCTGATCTGAAACAATCCGTGAGGCATGATCATCATTATTCAGTCCAGGAAGACTTGGAGGCGATTACTGAGATTCAGAGAATTGAAAACCAAGAAAACGGGTACTTTCCGGGAAAGAAGGAATTAGAAATGGAAGATATGGATGAAACCGACTCTGGTTGCTGTTCTGTAACCCAGCCTTTCTAGATGGCTTTGAGAAGGAGAAGAATCAAAGTGAGTTTGTTTTAGGGTTCTTTAATGACAGATGTGGGGTAAAATCAAGCGCAACTCGTGCCCTCTCACTAGGATATGCGTGTCTGGACTTAGCTCGAACACCTTTAAAGACGAGGAGGAAGAACCTATATCCTTGTAGGTGGAGCTCATCTCAACTCCAATCTTGAAAAGATTTTGACTGGTGAAAAATCTACCGACATTCTACGAAAGGAACAATCCAGAGAGTTCATTCCGAAATAGAACTCATCCAAATCCTTGTTCATCCAATTATCTCTCGGCTGCTGGGGATTCATGAGTCCACTTCTACTGCCATTGTTTAGAACAAAAACTGTACAGATCAAGAATTTCCATCATGTGAAGCAGAACTTGATCAGTCCACACACAAATTTGGTGCCATGTTATAGAGAATCGCACATCTGAAAGCCATGAGAGCACAGAAGGCAAACTTGGAATGAACTGGAGAATACTCTCAGAAAGAAATTGAAGCACAGAGCTTCCTTTTACGTTATTTTAACACTGAAATTGCATGCATTTGCTGATACTGCATTTTAGTTTCTTCCTATATGTAACATGTTCACATTCACGCATCGTTTTAGTCTTGCAATCATTACCCGTAATTCAGAGTTTTCCTTGGGAGGGCCAAAAAAAGCAAACCAAAAATGACAATTAAATTAGAAAAATCATAGTCAACTGAAAGACATCAGGTAGAATAGAAATATAGCAGCGTCGAATTCATGAGATGGTAATAAAAAGATAACACTAAGAAAACAAAAAGAGAATTTAGGATCATTCATCCTCCTGGCTGCGCAACCTAGCAAGCTTGTTGGTGACAACTACATCGAGCTGGGCAGCTCTCTCCACAATCTCCTTCCTCTTTCTAGTGGACACATCATGTGCAATCTCAGCACAGTAAGTCCTGAAATAACAAATGTGTGAATAAATCACTAAGTCAAGAAGTAGTGTCATATCTAAATGAAATATGAAGATATTTATGCTTGCCTATTGTGCATCATCAACAGTTCAAGCTCCTTGACATTGTGCACAACAAACTTCTTGAAGCCATTAGGAAGGTAATGACGGGTCTTCTTGTCTGTGCCATACCCAACGTTTGGCATCAAAGTGCATCCTTTGAACTTTCTTCTGACCCGAGAATCAATACCCTTTGGTCTACGCCAGTTTGTCTGTATATTCACATTTCACCAATTACATGGTAAGTCACAGGAGGACACAATTTTTACTTGACTAAACATGATGTAAAAACATAAAAAACAAATCACAAAATACATCAGGTGCAGCGCATGTGTAAGGTACAAGAATATAGCATAAGGCTTCAACTGAAACACAAACCGAGTATCGAAGATAATTAGGAATTGTTTGCCATCAAGGTCAACAGACTCGACGAGACACAACACAACACATCATGTTACCACCCAATATACAGTTGAATCATATCAAGTGATAGCATTAGAAGTACAAGCAAGGTTACAAGAGGAGAGCCCAAAAGACAAATATTTTCAAAATACTTGTTCAATAGATTAAAGAGGCTCTATATATGGGGATTATACATCCTTTGCCCTTCAAACAAAATGCTGGATACAGAAATGAAAGCAACTGAACATCAGCTCCGATGGGCCAATAAAAGTTGAAGGAACGTTAAAAAAATAGAACACTGCTTATACAGGTTAAGAGGGCCATTGATAAATTTGACCTTGAACTTCAATGTATACTTGCAACCTCGCCCCAAGATTGGTGAATCTTATAACAACAAAAAACTATAGAACTTACACAGGCTTTCATGGGAGAGAAAGATACCAATTAGACATAAGCCCAACAAGAAATTAAAAAAAATACAACAAATTTCCTTTGCCTTTTGACACTTCCATATGCCTGATTCCCTAGTATACAATTTTGATTAACCAACGGCAACTCAAGGGGATTGAAAAATCATCCAAAGTAAGAGATTGCTACAAGTAAACAACATGCAGAATGGTCACGTATGCCCTCAAATTCGCAATCCAGAACAACCTTGTTGCGTCAATATTTGCCATGATAAACAAAATCAACGTTGCATATTCTTATCATAATAATTTAAGAGTTGTTGAGTAATAATATTCTTTGAAACACGTTTTATAAAGCGCTCAGCAGATATAAGGTGGAACGATGCGTAAACATAAAACAAGAGATAAGACTATCATCAAACTGGATTTTTTATACAACTTTATGGCATACCATAACGAGAAGAACGAACAAAAACACCTAATAATTTACAGATCCACATAAAACTTAATAGACATAAAGAGAAACAATACAAAATAAACGGAGCAAAGCCCATATAGACATAGTCGCATATACAAATCACTAACATGCGTAAAAATTAACTTGTACAGAGTACAACTCGTAGAAGTTTAAGTACATACTTTGACAGAGATCTTGCGGTCGCTCTGGGGCCTCTTGAACTGCTTTACCCGCTTCTTAACGATCTTCTTCGTCAGCAACGGCACCGCCATGTTTTCTCAGTTCCTACAAACTCTAAACCAGGAAGATTTCTCAGTTTCAAAACGACCGACTGCAAGAATGTTGACTCAACAATGAAAATTACAGAACATGTGAAACTCGTACAACCTAAAATCGCATTTGACTGAAAACAAACTACCTAAAAAAACTGCACAATGTAAACAAGTGGTGGAGCATTAAAGAGTGAAAGAGTGTGAGAGAGAGATACCGGCAATCGGAATCGGAGCTTGGTTCCCAAAAGCCGCCGAACTCGAACTTCAAAAATTTTGGTTGGTCGTCATATAAGTGGTGCAGGGATGCGGCATTAGGGTTTTTTCGGGTCAAATATTTCGGGTCTCGGGTCAGGTTTTTTCGGGTTAAAATAATCAACCGTTTTCATTTAATTCTTAATATCATTTTGTGTCACACATTTAATATCATACTACACTCACTATATTTCTTAAAAAGGTAAATATTATTGGTACTCTATTATGTGTAAATCTTGGGTTAGTATTTAAAAAAATAGACTAAAATTATCATTTTTTAAATATATATAAACATAAATGAACATTTTCAAGTGCATCAACCAAAGTTAAAATTATAGGGACCAAACTTAACATTTTAAATATACATGAATGAAAATGAACTAAGAATTAAAAATAAAATAAAATAGTATTTTGACCTTTTTTAATTAATTTTATCTAAATAGATTTACGTGTATATTATCGAAAAAAAAAATAATGGTTGTTTGGTATTCTATCCAAATTTTGTTTCTTTCTTACTTATTTTTATGTTTTTAGTGTTTGAATATTTTAAAATTTAAAATACATAATTATATTTAAATACTATAAAGCCGTGTTATTTCATGTTATGAACTAATTTAATTATTATTAAAATTCAAATAGGCAAAACATAATATATTATAAATTATATAAACTATTAGATAATAAATATAATTATAAAAAATAAATTATAATTATAAAAATTTTATAACATATATTAATTAATAATATTATAGATCGAACTAAATAATTGAGTGTCACTAATTTTACACATGCATAACTTTGATATTCAATTTTCAAATTTTCAAATTTGTTCCTACTAAAAAAGATTGAAAATATGAAATACAATTTAAATAATTTTGTATTAAATCTTTTTTTTTCAAATTTATCTTTCTAGGTTACCGACCAAAAAAAAGTATCGGGAGAGGTCCCAGCCATGAACTAAAAGAAATTTTTAATTTGACAACAAATTCAGGATTGGTGTTTGTTGTACAAGCTTTATTTATTATTAATTTTTTATTTTATATCAAAGTATTATAGAAGCCTCAGTAGTGAAAGTTTAATGTACTATTAGGTCAAAATCTTGGACAATATTTGAACTTAAAACTTACTTAGTTTTTTTTTGGTTTTTTTTTTTGTTTTCAAATGCTCTAGAACAATAAATTTTAACTCTTATATTTAGTCCCTACCTATTATACTAAAAAAAAATCTTATATTTTAATCTAATGACTTAATTTTGACCTTTTAAATTTTAATAAAATAGTAAGACTAACATTCCTATACAACTTAAATTGTGAAATTATCCACAGGTCTTCCAATAAATTATACAATATCGAACTACTAAAAACCTGAACTATAAAGATGTCAAAACAAATCATATATATATATATATATATTTTGAGAGTTTGTCAATACCAACCTAAAAAATACTCCAACATGGTGACAAATTTGAACACGTCAAATTAAAATTTTGTCAAACTTAGCAACAAATCGTCCAATATAAAAAACATAAAATATAACAAAAAGAACCAATCCCATTAAAATATTTATGTCTAACCAAAAAAAGGCTACTATGCAAATGACTAGAATAATAGTAATAATTTTCAAATAATTAAGTGTATAGTTTAACGGTTAAAAGTTGAATCCTCCCCGTATTTAAAATCATAAATACAGTATATTATTAAATGTTTGTAAAAACTAATTAAGGTAATGTAGGTAAATTTTTTTTAATAAAATGTAGATATTTTATTAACGACAATCACCTAATGAAATAATCGGATCACGCAATTAAATGGTGTTGAATTAGGTCGGTCATATTGACCGAGTTAACCCCTCAACCATCAAAATGTTATTATCTAGTATGCACGCCCTTGAACCATCAATGAGGTACTCATGGTCGTGTATTCGTTATTAACAAATTATTTATTCGACATATAATTAAAAGTAAAAGAAAATTTTGTTTAAATACCTGTATAATTTTGGACACAAAAAGTTTAAATGCACCCTGACATATTATTATTTTTTTAGTCAATCAGATCTATATCTCCTATAGTAGTAGATATCATAGTCATATCATAAGTAAATCAATTTCATATCATATGTATATCAAACATATATCACACATACATCAGGAGTATATTTGTCAATCATAGTTATATCATAAGTAAATGAATAGTATATCAAAAATCAATCAGTTCTACATCACCTATAGCAGTATATATCATAGTTATATCAGATATATATGAAACATATATCACATATATATCAGGAGTATATATACCAATCATAGTTATATTATAAGTAAATCAATAGTATATCAGAAGTCAATTAATTATATGTCACCTATATTAGTAGATGTCATAGTTATATCAGAAGTAAATGAATTTCATATCATATGTATATCAAACATATATCAGGAATATATATGTCAATTACTAGTATATCAGAAGTCAATCAGAAGTAATTTTTGTTGATTCGGACCATAGGATATACTTGTAATTTAGAACGTGGGCCTCCGTTTTTTTGCAAAAAAAATGATATATTTTAAAAACTAAAACCTTGTTGCTATTTTGCTTATTTATCTAACTTTTTTTTGTTGTCACATGTCAAGTTGCTCCTGCGTTATATATTAATTTTTGTTTTTATATATATTTATATTACATCACATTAAGAAAAGAAAAAAGAAAAAAAAAAAGAAAATGCAGTTATGGAAAGATGAGCTATTAAAGTCAAGCAGTCAAATCCGATAAGAAGCGGATAATTACGATCCGATAATTTAAAATATGTTTTTTTTTTTCTGACTGAATGTTTTTTTCCATTTTTATTTAAGGAGAAAAAAAAAAAACTCAAACAAAGAGGATAATCCAAAATTTAAAAGTATTTATGGTAGTTTCCGAAGTATAATGAAAAATGTAACTTTTAGCCACAAAAATTATTTTAAATACAATTGAGTCCCCATTCCCCACGCCCACCACCATTGTTTTGCAGCCCATAAACTCTCCTCTTCCCTGAATCTCTCCCTCAATGATTCTCTACTCCTTTCTCGTCCCCATCATTTCCCCTTTTCCCACTCTTTATTTCCCTCTTTCTATTTCAACAAACTCTTAATTTCAATTTCAGAACAAGTAGAGCTCTGCAGCTCTCAATAGCAAGAACAGTGTGGTGTGGCATTTTGGTTCTGCCGTTTCTCTCCCTGATCGTCGTCGTTTTTGAGGGCTACTCGTTGGAGTAAGTTTTCGCAGAGTTTTCTGGTTTGGGTTTTGGAGTTTTATTGTTTTGAGCTGGATTTTGGGAGCTTATGTCTGCTTTATTGAGTACTTATGGGGGAGTTCGTCTCCATCTTGCTAGTGACTTGTCTATTTCTGTCTTCAGTTGGAACGTATCCTGAATCTCCGTGTTCGTTGATTGCATGCATATTTGATTGTGTTAGTTCTGAAAGTTTTGATTTTTGTTTTTATTTCCATATGGGGGTTCGATTTTGCTGCAATATAATACAGTGTTTGAGGATCGTTTTGTCTTGACTTTGCAGTGGTTTTTACCCAATTTTTTTTATTAATCGGACATGTGGTGATTAGATTAATGAACTTTTTTTTTTGTTTTTGTCAAATCAGTTGCGCCTCCACCCCAGCCCCCAAAAACCAAAAAATGAAAAAAGAGGGCAGGCGGGCGAGCTCTATCAGCAATATTTTTTAGGTGTGAAGTGTGTTTGTGTTTGGGATAACTTTTAAAAAGTGTTTTTTAAATAAAATTCTTTTTATATGAGTACTTTTGGAAGAATTACCAATTTAGAGTGGGTTTAATGTAGCTTCCTAAGTGATTTTAGATGACTAAAGTATTTTTTTAAGGTAATTGGTTTAAAAAAGTTTTTGAAGAAACACTCGAGAAATGATTATCAAAAGTGACAACTGATTGACACTTTTGTAGTTTAAATACTCGAGATTATGTAAAAGAAAAAAATGTTTGAACTGAAAAGTATGTCAAACGCACCATTAATGTTTTGTGAGCCTCTGCGCTTATGTTCTATCTTTTTTTTTTCCTTTTTAATTCTGTCCAATGTCTTCTCTTTCAGTTTGAACTTGAATTACGTTATATGTTTGTTGTTTTCAAAGGTTTGCAATGTCATTATCACTCTTGTTGAAATTAATTGTTTACCTATTGGACTGAATGTATCAAATTATTATTTGAGCCCACTCGTGAAGGAGAAATATATATTAAAAGATTAAAAATACCACAATCTATCAAGTTTTTGGTCTAATGGAGATTAATACTTTTACCTCTTGGACTTAATGAATCAAATTAATATTTGAACACGCTCATGAAGGAGAGTATTAAATATATATTAAAAGATTAAATATACCACGATCTATCAAGTTTTTTTGGTTTAATGGAGATTTAACATTTTGTACATCTCAGTCATTTATTATCGAAATCTTAAGTATATGAACTCCAGGGAGTCAAGCATACTTCTTAATGTTCCTGATCCCTTTCTGTCTGTTAATATCCATCATGCATAGTAGGACTCCTGTTTAAGCATTGGCTGTTCAAATCTACTGTGGTTGGTGGTGAATTTCAAAATTTTTGCTGGATGCAGTATTGAATTTCTCAATCATGACGGTGAATAATTTTCCATTTTTGGCAGGAACATGTTTAACTACTTTCTTTTAACAATTTCAAAGTATACTCAAATGCTCTTTTTATTACATCTCAGGTAGAGAAGATCAGAAAGTGATGCAGAAGCAGCCTTCACATCATCTGTTTTCAGGTAACCTCTGAAACCAACGTTTCTTTTAAGAATGATTGAGTGCAGTAATTATTTCTTTTTATCTTCTGTGGCAGATCATTCTAATAGTCTGCCCGTGACTAAACCCAAAGAAGAGGAAAATGCGTGGTGCAATTTCCACAAATCTGATGCCTTCCATGCTTCACCTGTTCCTACACTATTCTCTAGCTCATTGCCAGTTCTTCCGCACGAGAAGTGTAAATGTTGCCGACTCTCTAATTTTCTTCACCCTTTAAAGTTAGCTGAGATCTTTTTATGCTTTATCATAATATGCAGTGAACATGATCGACAAAGGAGTTGTCATTCAATCTGTTGATGACATCTCATCTCACTTTAAGAATCACAACCCAGATATGGAGGGGGAGGATATGCTCGAAGACATTGAAACTCATGCAATTGGCAGCTTGCTTCCTGATGATGAGGAGGAGCTTCTAGCCGGTATAATGGATGATTTAGATCTGAATGGCTTGCCTAGCTCTCTTGAAGACTTGGAAGAATATGATCTTTTCAGTAGTGGAGGCGGCATGGAGTTGGAAACAGATGCTCAACAAAATGTTAGCATTGGTTTATCAAGGGCAGGCTTAACTGATTGTGTAGTCGGGAGTGCAATGCCTCCTTATACCTTTTCAAATGGCTCGGGAACTGTAGCTGGAGAACATCCTTATGGAGAGCATCCTTCAAGAACACTGTTTGTGCGGAACATTAATAGTAATGTTGAGGATTCAGAATTGAGAGCTCTCTTTGAGGTGATGCATTTTGTGTAAATCTTATTTAAAAATCGTGCGTCATAATATCCATTTTATTCATGATGCTCTATGACTGTCACAAACATACCTGATTCCTGAACATTTCTTAAAATGAAACAATCTAGAGAATTATGTGTGTATGTTGGGCTTCTTGGTGTTTGTTTGGTTGCATTAATTGAAGTATATTGTCTAAGTACAACTAATCTTGGGAGTTAAAGCCCTATTCTCTAGTTTACCCTGTTTATCAAACAGGAGTGGGAATGAAGAAGAATAGACTAAAAATATTAAGAAAATTGTGGAATTAAAACAAATATAAAACAGGTTCTCATTACTTTAGATTTTTAGGTTGATCAAGTTAGTTGTTCGTTTGTCCAGTGTACAAAATATCAAAAGTTTGGATTACCCCTTCTAGAAAGTCATATTCTTTGTTCACCAAGTACTAATTTAAAAATCCACACATAAATGTTAATTAGTCTTCAGAGCAAGTTCGGATATGCTGGTATTATATCATGTTGATTTTTCGCAATTGCTAATGTCATCATCATGCTGTCCTTCCCCCGTTTCCCTTTTTTCTGTTTCCTTTTCCCTTCTGGTTGGCAGCAATATGGAGACATTAGGACTTTGTATACTGCTTGTAAACATAGGGGCTTTGTGATGATATCTTATTATGACATCCGTGCTGCCCGAACTGCCATGCGTGCATTGCAAAACAAACCACTACGGCGGAGAAAACTTGACATTCATTTCTCAATTCCTAAGGTTTTGAGCAGATTTTATATTGCTCATAGTTTATCTCAACTTTTATTTTGTTTTTGGAGTGTTGCATTCATTTCTTTGGTTTTTCATTCTACGACAGAATAATCCATCTGAAAAAGATATAAATCAAGGAACCTTGGTAGCCTTTAATTTGGATCCCTCAATTCCCAATGAAGATCTTCTTCAAATTTTTGGGGCTTATGGTGAGGTCAAAGAGGTGACTGTTTTACCAACCCTTCTTAAATATTTCTATTGTCAATTACAAGTTCTCTTGACTCATGATTAATGACATTTAACTATGTGGTATTCATTTCTCAAAAACAGATAAGGGAAACTCCACACAAGAGACACCATAAGTTTATTGAATATTATGATGTTAGAGCTGCTGAAGCAGCACTGAAGGCATTAAATAGAAGTGACATAGTTGGTAAACGCATAAAGCTAGAACCAAGTCGCCCTGGTGGAGCTCGTCGAAAGTGTGTATTCAAGACCATTAATTTTTATGCTTGTTTCCCCTTCTTAAGCTTTTTCCCATCAACTTTCATCATAATTGAAGTTTACTCACTTGGGACTAGTTTAGCAAAGAAACAACCATGAGTAAGGAAAGCCTTCCATAATAATATAATATTAATATTCAAATGAGTTCCTGTCTTGTGTCTAGTATTCACAGCTCAGCATGGTTTAGAGGTTGTTACTTGCCGTTTTATTAAACTTTGTTGGCGCAAATGATAATTTTTCATTCATCTGATCTTTTGAGACATTGAAAATTCACTTTCTGATTTAGAAAAAGGAATATAAGTCAGTTGAAAGTATGAGGAAGCTTTGAATTCCTCTGGTCAACTTACTGACCGGTATATACTGTCTATCCTAATATTAACTATCCAACATGGATCGGCTCGATGGAAATTCCTAAATATAGATAGATGGTTTGGATTGGATCCAGTGATTAACCAATCTGCCATCTTCATTCTTTGACTTCTGTGTTTTGAGGTTTGTTGTTTATATGTAGCTCCCTGTTGAAATTGACTAAAACCTTCTTCTGTCCTTTGAGATAGTAAGAACTATAAGCTGTGGGTGGCACTCTTATACAGTATTCTGTTTCCGTCTTTAAAAAAATTCAAATTCATTAATGTTTATGTTGCTGTTATACTTAATATAAATATTTTATTTCATTCTTATTGAAATCATTGTTCTGTGATCTTAATCCTTCCAGCTTGATGTTGCAATTGAATCAAGAACTTGAACCAGATGATTTGTGGAGTTTCCGACATCAAGTTAGTTCACCAGTTATCAATTCTCCCCCAGGTAGGGTACCTTTAAACATTCCTGTTGTCACTTGCTCACATATTTCGTTGTCATGTATTTTTATTTTTTTATTTGCAACAGAAAATTTTCCATCCCTGACTATCTTAACGTCTGTGACAGGTAAATGGATGTCATTCAACGGTTCGATTAAACCTAGTTCCATGGGAAGTATTAATAAATTTCCTGGTTTTACATCCATGAGCCCAACAGGAGGCGACCATTTGCCTGGATTAGCATCAGTTCTTCCTAAAGTAACGAGAAGTACTCTGAAGGTTCCTCCTATTGGCAAGGACCAAGGAAGGGGTAACAATATGGAAAATTCATTTACCAATATAAATCCATTGCATATAGCTGCCCTTCAACCGTCCCATTCATTTCCTGAGCCTAAACCAATCCACTATAATGAGACTTTGTCCTCCTTTAGACCTCTGACATCGAGTGGATCTAGTGTGGAAACATTATCTGGTCAACAAATCATTTGGGGGAGTCAAAATTCATATTCGGAGTCGAGTAGTTCTTCTGCTAGGTCATATGCAAATCATCATTTCTTAGCCAATGGAAATGGTCAGACATTTCCATTTCCCGGCCGGCAAACTTCTTTCTTCAGCTCAACTCCAAACTCTCACTCGCATCATGTTGGATCTGCTCCATCTGTCATCCCATCGGAGAGGCACTTCGGATATTTCCCCGAGTCACTAGATACTTCGTTGATGGGTCCTGTTGCATACCGAGGTTTAGGTTCTAGTCCTCATGCATCTGTAAATGTAAATGCTGCCATCACTATACCAAGAAACGTGTCTGAAAATCRCTCTTTGAGTTTTCAAATGATGTCTTCATCAGTGTTGAACCCAATGTTATCAGGTAGCGTTCCGTACTTGGGACTGCTACCTAACAGCCTGGATGGTTTGAATGAGCGTGGCAGAAGCAAGTGGATTGAGAATAATGGAAATCAAATCGACAGTAGGAAGCAGTTTCAGCTCGACTTGGATAAAATTAAGAGCGGGGACGATACACGAACAACCTTAATGATAAAAAACATTCCAAATAAGTAAAGACTAAATCTTCACCCCGCCCATTGCTTTGCATATTTCTTTTCAGACTGTTGATGATTGATGAATATGTTCAAATGACTCTCCCTGCAGATACACATCAAAGATGTTACTAGCTGCCATTGATGAAAATCATAGGGGCACATATGATTTTCTCTATTTGCCAATCGATTTTAAGGTTACTCTAAACTATCCTTTTGAATGTTGGGATTGAACTAAAATTAGGTTAATTGTTGACCAAGCTAAGCGTGGTTCTTTTTAGCTATTTTTCTTCGCATGAATACAACCAAACTGATTTGCATTTTGGTTTGAATGTGTAGAATAAATGCAACGTGGGCTATGCTTTCATCAACATGCTATCTCCTCAACACATAATATCATTTTACGAGGTCTAATGTTTTTTTCAACTACCTGATGTGATATTTTAGATTGTTTCTGCATTGAATTTTGTCTGAGTCGGGTCTGCAGTAGATTGAGTATTTTGGTTTTTCTGCACAGGCTTTCAATGGAAAGAGATGGGAGATGTTCAATAGTGAGAAAGTTGCTTCCTTGGCATACGCTCGAATTCAAGGAAAGGCAGCGCTCGTGTGTCATTTTCAGAACTCAAGCTTAATGAACGAAGATAAGCGCTGCCGTCCCATTCTTTTTCACTCACAGGGTGGTTCAGAGGCTGGAAATCAGGTCAAAAGTTAAAAATATAACTATCTAAAACTAATTCTGCCTTGCTCAATTTTATCTTGGTCATTTGAGAACATGAGGGAAACTATATAACTGATAAGTTGTAGGATTGCCTCGACTGCCTCGTGAGATTAGTCGAGGTGCGCGTAGCTGGCCCGAACACTCACGGATATAAATATATATATAGTTGATAAGTTCCATTCTCCATCCTGATGTAAACCCGAGCAAATCCCGTTTTCGACATAAATTTCTCAAGGATCTATCTTCAAGATTTGGTGCGACAGTTTTTAAGAATGGTTGGGAATTGGTATATGTAATACTGATTTGTGTTCTCTGCTTATTATCATTATCATGTCATCTTGCAGATCCTCCAAAAACATCTGCCACCAGGCGATCTGGGCGTTAATATCTGGGGGATAAATGGGTCGCTTTCCAGTGATTCATCAGGAAGTCCCCTGAATTGTGGCCTCAATGAGAAGCCTGAAAAACTCTAAACCCGATATTATACTCGCCCTCAGCCTAGATCTTTAGCTGCTGAATTTCTAACTCGAGTACATAATCAAGTACATATATCAGGAACAGGTGGATTAGGAAGAGAAAACATGTGCAGATTTGTATACAAGATTCTGCTTTCTGCAGCGTTTTGGTAGGAAGACTTGGATGAAGACGGAGTAGCTGGAGCTGTGTCGGTTGCTGTGCCCATCAATGGCAGCCCGATCCGAGCAGTCTTCAGTCTCGGCTACCCGCTGTTTATGCACTGATTGGTGCATGATTTCTCCTGTTTTTTTGGAGCTTCTTTTTGCCTCCCCCTAAACGTTGGGGTTGAGAAATGGCAAACTCAACGTGTATATACACAGAGGCAATTGTGTATTTTGGATGTGAAGTTTTGAGAGGAGGAACCACACAATTGAATACATTTTCCTTCTGTTGAAAAACTTGTTTCAGCTTTTAAAATTTAAATTCAATTGTTACTGTTTATAACATTGTTCAATGCATTTGCGTCGTTTGTAATGCAGGAAGGCTTTGGATGGCATAATCCATATATATAGGTTAAATATGTTTTCAATTTATTTTTTAATCTTTTAAAAATTTCAATTTTATTTTTAATGAAAAGAAAATGATGTATTATTAAAATATTATGAACTTATTTTGCCATTTAAGTCGACTCGAATTATTTTATGAACTTATTTTGCCATCTAATGATTTGAACTCCCATTTCTTTTATGTTCTTTTTAATACTAATGATTAGTGGTTGATGGATAAAACAGGAGCAATAATAAGTCAAATCTTAGTTTAAAAATCAATTTCTTTTAAGTCGTGTTTTTATTATTTTTGTTGCTTTTTTTTTCAAATTAAGATTTGAGAACCACAATTGTTCTATTTCTATTTTTCAAAAACACATTAAAATATTAGCCAACAAAGACGCAAAATAATTTATTATAGCACTAAAACAAACATAATGTAAAAAATATCAATACAAAAACAATAGTAATAATAAGGCTGTCTTCAATGTCAACACTGTTATCTAGTTTAAAACATGATAGTTATAGATTCTTATACCTTCTTGAAGGTTTTACCATTAATGACTATTACATTTGATGAACTCAATAAAAAAGCGTTAAAATAATAAACATATCTATGTTCAAATTCCAACTATTTTACTTGAATTATAACACTATAAAAAACAATAATTTTTTAATACAACTTGAGGTTTGTGGATTTGAATTAGTGACCTATTGATCAGAGACGGGTGTCAATTAATTATTACGCTAAAATCATGTTGACATATAAAATACGATTGTCATATATTAATACGAAAAACATATTTTTCAACATGATGTTTTTCGACATGAGTTGTAGAATATTATTATTATTATTATTATTATTTGGTAATTTGTATCAGTGTAATAGTTGTGGGTGAAAATCATTAGGACAAATAAGCAAATCTATCTGATATATCCAAAGTTGGGGTCAGTTCAAACTCCTCTAGTGAGGTGTCCACAAGTCCTTGTAAGAAGATCCTGAATCACAAGTTGTCGTCTGGAGCAAAGCGCATCCTGCAGGAAAGTAAATAAACATTAGATAAATATCTCATCTTGCAATGTCAGACAATCTTGAAAGTTTTGGTGCAAAATCATGCATCCAACTATACAGTCTTGATCTTTCGGGCCACGCTCTCCCAAATTACTCTATAAAACGAAGCTAAAAAAACCTTGTATGAAGGTATTATACTAATCTTTAAACTCTTTTTTCATCTCATTTAAATTGATATTGACTTCTTCGAGATGTATTAAATAGAGCACTCTACTAGTATTGAATATAGTCTTCCAAATAACCATTTCGACAAGAATAATCTCAAAACAATGATATGAATATACGACCTCAAAAAATGTAGAATAATAGAAGCGAGAATTTAAAGCTTSSATCGAACAACATTTAGCCTAACAAACATTTTCATCTACTGTGTTTATTTTTTATTTATWTTTTAAAGTACATTTTCATCTACAGTTAACAACAATAAAACAATGGTACTAAAAAAAACAATAAAACAATGGGTATTGATTTATCCATTCCCATGGACTTCCCAAACCGAATATACCAACCAATCAGAGAGAGAGAGAGAATTTCGACTGACAATTAGTTAATTATATAATCATTTATAATTAAAGGACCCTAAAGAAAAAATAAATAATAATATAATGAAAGAGCTGCGTATGGAGTCGAAGGGAAGCGTAGACGATGATCTACCTCGAGCTCCTTTACCGCGAAGCTGCACGTGTCAACGCGTGGTGCTTAGCTGGTTCCACTAGCCACGTGGCCGAATTCTACCGGTCCAACAATTTCACAAATACCCCCATCAAAGCCGTCTTTAAGACCCAAACTCTACCAATTTTCCTCTCTCTGACCATTTTCTAGAAAACTTCTAGAGAGAGAGAGAGAGGGCAGGGCGGAGGAGGAGGAGAAGAACAAGGAGGAGGACTCTATTGCTTCGCAGGTATTTTGATTTTCTTCTCCCTCTTTCTTACTCCACCTCTGATTTCTCTTCTCTCTGCTTAACTTCAATTTCATACTTGCTTCTGCTCAAATTGCCTCTCTCTTTTCTTTTTACTTGGCCATGGTTGAAGGATGATTCATGGCTTCCGCTTAGTTGGGTCTTTCTAGGGCTTCACTTCACTTCCTTTACTTTCCAGTTTGCTTTTGAGCTATTTTCCTCTTACCTGCTAAGTTTCTCAGACGGAATTCCTTTGGTTGACTTTAATTGCTGTGAGGTTCACTTCAAGATTTTGCTGTTTCTTGACCGCCCTTGATTTTGGTCGTCAATTTTAGTAATACTGTATCCGGGAATCTGTGCGGTTTTTTGCTAGTCGGGCTTGAAAGATTTTGAYTATTAAACATATGTTTTTTTTAGAACTGCGGATACTGGTGTATTTTAATTTAGTTCTTCGCTAAGAATATTTCATGTGACGTATTATAATCTAATTATCAGCAGCACTCCTGATTTTTTTTTCGTTGAATAATTTAATTGGATTTTGTATTCCCTATATGTCAAAATTTTATTCCGAGAGTTTCCTTAYGGGGGTTGTATCTTCCAACMATTTTTGTTCCTTTTCATTCGTAAAAAAGGAAAAAATCTGAGAATTATTTATTAATTATTAGATAAATGAAGGTTTTGGCTCTTGCTTGTAGTTAGAATATTTAGTGGCTTCTTCATCATGGTCGATTTTTTTCTTGGGGAAGAATCAATCTATCATAATTGTCACTTCTCAGGATGCTTTTGTGCCACGCAACAACAATYTCATTTTCCCATTGGAAGCGTTACATAGATTTTTCATTCTAAATACAAATTTCAGATGGTTGCTCATTCTTTTGATATTTTTGATCTTTATCTCTGTATACTTATGGTCTCCGACTTGTTTTGCTGTAGAGGTGTATTTTCCTTCCACTGATGTTCTTATATCAGCATAGTGGTACATATCAAAAGTACAGGACAAATGCCATCAATAAAAATGAAGGCCAAGTTAAGCCCAGCCTGCTTAAGAGAAAAACATTCCCTTCGTGTTTGTCAGAAATCTTGTGTCATCTCTAAAAAATCTTGTTGTCACTTGAGGGTTTCCGAAGATGCAGATGAATTTGATGGTTGCATTACAAAATGTCAGGAAGGTAAGTAACTGCTAGCTTCTTTCTTTCTTTTTTCTTTTTAATTAATGTTATTTTAAATATATTGCTGATTACGTTCATAGTTTGTAGCATGCATCTCATGTCAAGGCTTTCTCAACCCTTGTTTTCCTTAACATGTGGGACAAATCAGATAATTTGACCTATGTGCTCCTTTGCACATTCATATTTAGCGATCCCCATTGAGTAGTATGCTACAGCATTCCAAGTTTATATTTACATTCACTTCTTTGGTTTATAATCAAATATTTGTAATTGCTTGATCACTTGGAAGTGTGAAGTCACAAATGGAAACAGTGTAGTTTACTAGCATCTTAAACAAATACATTAGCATAATTTTGATCTCCTGTCGTAATTTAGAAAGAAGAATCACATATATTGAAAAATATAGCTTATTTAAGGAGAAAATTGCAATTTGATATTTCCTAAAATTTGATTTCATTTATGCAAAAATAAAATGGTGTTATTTTTCTTCGTATTGATTTATGAAGTTTTTTCCTTCTTTTTTTGTTCAAGAAAACAATAAAAATCTTCAGGAATACTGATACTCGTTTCTTGTGCAGCTTCTCTGAACACAGAATTTCAATCTATTAATAGCAATATGAATCAGGAAGCCATTAATCACCAGGAATTCATTGAAGAAGAAACTTCTGAATTGAAGAGGCGTGGAGAAGATTTTGAGTTTAAGAGGGAAGAACCTTTTTCAGTCAATGCTGCTGATTCAAATGGAAAGGTAGCGTGTTTTTCTTTTAAGGATCAACTGCAACTGAGTGCAGCGTGCACATTTTGATCCTTTACTCTCCAGATTGGGAGCACTCTTTATAGGAAAATTATTGGTACCTAGATTAATATGTGCATGGGGTTTTCATAATACAACAAGCCATTTAATGAATATCTAGGTCATTAGATAATTTGAAGCACTTCTTCAACAATTTATTACACGAGTATTTTATATGTTTTATAATTTACCCTGTGGAGTATGGATAATAGTGCGAAAACAATGTGTGCACTTGTATAATATAGGAGTAAAATTTGAGGCCCGTGTAGTTTTTACCTTATATGTAGAAACGTTGGTAGATGAAGATCATTTACCTAATTGTATATTTTTGGGGAAAGCCAACCTTGTTTTCCTTAAATTCAGGGAGTCGAGAATCCTGTCATACATGGTTTATCTTCTCCTCTTGTTTGTTGTACTGTGTTTCGAAGTTTTATCTTTAGTTTGTCTTTGTGTATTTTTTTTTCCCAACCATTATTTATTATTATTGCCATTGTTATTGTTATTTTGACAAATTTTTAATGAAAAATTTACAGGATTGCACCTCAGCCTACTCTTCCGAAATAGATACAATTTTTTCTCCTATTTTGAATAATATTGAAGTCCAGTGCCATCCTATCATCGGACATGATCCAGGTATTAATTTGAAGTTAGATATTTCACAAAACCAGTATCATTTCCTTCTTTGTGGTCCTTGCSCATCTTTACTACCTAAGAAGTACAAACACTGGCATGTAATACAAACATGACATGACAAGGACATGATCACACGTTCATTACTAAAAATCTAGGAGATAGACATGACATGGACACATTTATTATGATATACATTTTTTTATATATATAATATTTTTATGCATTTCAATGATTTTATGCTAAAGTTTGTTTTAGCTTATAAATGGTACAATGTTTTATCTCAACATATTTGAGATAGACCTAAACCAATTTATCAATTTTTTAAATGATTTAACATCTTTACAAAAAGAAAATTTAAAGTCAACAATGCTTATGCATTTACATATTTCACTCCCAAAATATTCATGAGTCAACATGCGTTTATTGTATTTAGCAAGTATTCAACATTTGCCCAACAAATATGTCTTCAGATACATGTTCCTTCACATGTATGACTAGCTATTCGTATAAACTGGTTGTTCCTGAGTTCCTGTCCGATCTAAAGGTAGGCAGAATTCAACAAATATTGTCTTCTCARGGTTGAAAGAAAGCTTCTAATACCTTAACGGAATCTACATTGAAGAGTTGAAATCTGGTCTGAAACTTAAAGAGAATTTTCTGTACCATGCTGCTGTGCTTGTGATMTTTGAAGTTCATGTTTTCATTTCTCTGTTGAACTTTGCCTTTGCCACATGTCCTTGCAATTGTATATTCTGGCAAGGCAATACTTAGAATATGGAAAACAACATACCTCCTGACACATGGAATATAACACWTGTGATAGTTCTTATCTATTTYTCTGATTTTGCATTATGCAGGGAGCAAACTTGATCCTGACATAAAAGGAGTGGAAACTGATGAAAAGATAAATAACAGAAGCTCACATGAAAATCAAACCTGTGACGTATCAGATTTTTTTATTTCTGACATGATAGTCGCAAGCTTACCTTTTAGTGGAAATGATGACATYGACAACATCAATTATTTTCATGACTACAAATATACTCAGTCGACTATATTGTCTGATGTTGCTGACCAGTATATGATACTGCCTTTCCTGGAGGACACTGTGAAGTTCAGCAATTCTGATGATGCTAAATTTTCTGAAGAATCTTCCATTGGTCCTGGTAATTCTAGTTTATACCGAGTAATCGATCAACGGAATAATTTGAACCTTGAATTCAATGTTAGCTTTGACTCAGATCAGACAGAGTGTTTTGATCCCCAGTTGTTCATAAAAAAWTTACCAGAACTGTCAGATGTGATATCAAGCTTTCAGCCCAGTATATTGCCCAATGAAAATTGGAAGAGAAAGGCTGTGACCCTTGTACTTGATTTGGATGGTAAGAGAATTGCATTCTATATTTATTTTTTCGAGGATTATGAAATGTTGCAAACCAATTTGAAAAGAAATACAGGTCTACGAACACATGTTTTGRAAGATTGAAATTCTTGTTCATATCTCCTTTTTGACTTTTGGGTTAAAATCATATGAAAGGTGGCTATGAAATTTTGAAGTAGCTGATCAGTTCTCTCTTTTCTCAACCTCATACTTAAGTATGTTCAATTCCTTGGGGGTTTGAATGTGAGAAATTTGGGACACATCCTTGCTTTCCTTTCCTCTGACCTAGATAGTAGATTGTGTTGCTAGTTCTCGGGGCATCTTTTCCTGTAATCATAATCACTTTTTGAAATATTCCATTAATAAAAATACCTGGAAGACATTCATGACCCAATTGGGACTATTTCTTTTCCTTGTAAATCCATGTGGAAAGCTAGTATATTTATGGTTTCAGATTTGAAAAAAATTGGACAGCAACCAATGAAAAGGTACGAACATCTGAAACAATTTAAGAAACATAATATCGAATGCATTTATAGCCAGAAGATCAAAGATTTTAGTACGARTATGTAAGGGATTGAACATTGATACTACCTTTGCTGCTCTCTTCATACGGATGTCATGAGCATTTTGTAATTGTGAAAAGCTCCATGAAATTCCAAAATCAAGCAGTGTGAAGCAACTCGAATTATTATGTTCAAAACAAGTGGTGTTTATTTTTGGAAGGTATAATTGGATATAATAGGAGGACAATCGGGGACTATTCATTCTACTTTTCATGTAGGACGCTTCAATTCGCATTTCATGCATAAAACTATACCATGGATTTTGGATAAATGGCCTATGTTATTTGTCTTTTGTTTTGTTGTTTTGATTTGTTTTTTTTTTCTTGGTAAAAAATGATATAACAAAGCATTATTAGATGAAAACTCTCTAATTAGTAAAAAGGCATAGTTACATTTCAACTCTTCTTGTTTGCAAATTATATCACTTGGTAAAATGTGTGGTAATTGTTTGTTTCCAAAAGTTTATTGATTAACTTCTATGTTTAGAACATCATAGTATGATATTATAATGAAGGTGACCAAATATTTTAGGGTAGGGCTTCTTAGAGGCAAAGCCTTTTTGTGTTGTGGAATTGTGCGGACAGAGTGGGTTTTTAGCTTCTTTGGAGGGAGAAAGAGTAGGCTTATACATATGGCTTCATGGTGGACTATAAACCACAAAAATCTTTTGTGATTATAGCTACAAATGATTGTTAATGATAGAAGATGGCTACTTGTTTTGAGTGTGGGGAGGGATGAGGGGCATCTGACTTTTGGCTGTTCCTCTTTTTACGGTCTCTCTAAATTCTTTTATTAAAAAAAAAAGGAAAGAAAAATGAAGGTGACCAAATCAATATATAAGATACTGAACTTGACTTTGCTTTCAMGCGGAGCTATTTAAATATTTTATTTGAGTTCTTACCTTTCCAATATGTTTTTATCGTGATTAGTTTCCCTCTAAGTCCCCTTTTATGTATCTTCTATCTGGAACATAATGTAAATGTCTTCTACATTTGCAGAAACCCTAGTTCACTCTACATTGGAACCGCAAGATGATGCAGACTTCCGCTTTACCGTTTGCTTGAACATGAAAGAGCACATTGTATATGTTAAACGGAGGCCATATCTTCAAATATTTCTTGATCGTGTTGCGGAGATGTTTGAAGTTGTTATCTTTACAGCCAGTCAAAGTATTTATGCAGAACAAGTTCTCAACAAACTGGACCCAGAAAGTTGTCTTATCTCACGCCGACTTTATCGTGAATCATGCATTTTTTCAGATGGATGCTACACCAAAGATTTGACAGTTTTGGGCATTGATTTAGCAAAAGTTGTCATTATAGATAATTATCCACAGGTACGGTGCTTAGCCTCGTCTTTGATGAACTGCCCGTGATTGGACTCTTTCTTTCTCTTTTTACATGCACTATATTCTTTAATTGTATAAATTACATACATTATGAGGTTGGGTATCAGATTTATAAGCTATGAAGTTAATGTGACTTTCAAATGGTGGAATGGAGAGATGGGGTAGGTTACTTGCAGGTTCAACAACAGCTTCTCTCTTTTTAAGTATTGTTGAAGATTATTAACATTATTGGTTCCATGACTTGGAATGATAGTATATMCTGAGAGTAACAAAGATAATGTGATGTTTTCTGGGGATTCATGGTTAATRTTTTTTTGAAATAAAATACTTAAAAATAATGGATGAGTAGCAATCAATAGTAAATGTGTCACTAATCTTCATAATTAAGAAGTCATAATTTTATATAAGCTTTAAAAAAACAAAACAAAACAAAAGGAACGGAAAAAATTTCATTGATTAAATGAAAGTTAAGGACGACCAGTAAAGAAGGCAAAACAACCTGTCCAAAACACCCAAAAAATACACTGAATTCTCGAAATGCTACTCAAATATATCCGCACAACACATTAGCGAAATAAATCAAATAACACAACCTATTGGAAACCATTACGAAATAAGGATCTCCAACTAGAATGTGTATTGTTACTTAAGGATCTCCCAACCAAAAAGGGGAAACCCAAACAAGTTTATATAAGCTTTCATTTTACCTAGAAGGAAATATTGTTACTTAGAATAGATGATGCCATAAAT